GAACACCATTTGTCTTGTGCTGACCTTTTTTGAATTACACCCTACACTATTTCTTGAGGACACAATACTTGAAGAAATCTAGCCTGCATGATTTTACACCCTTCAACAAATTCCTCTTGTGAAGCTCCATCATGGCCCGCTCACCTATATGCCTAAAACACATATGCCATAGGAGTGCATCATCTGTCTTAGACTTTGTTACAACAACTCTACCTCCTACTATACTCCCTAATAGCCTGAAGATGTTATCGGTAATTTTCTGACCCTTTGNATAATCAAGAACACCATTTGTCTTGTGCTGACCTTTTTTGAATTACACCCTACACTATTTCTTGAGGACACAATACTTGCAGAAATCTAGCCTGCATGATTTTACACCCTTCAACAAATTCCTCTTGTGAAGCTCCATCATGGCCCGCTCACCTATATGCCTAAAACGCATATGCCATAGGAGTGCATCATCTGTCTTAGACTTTGTTACAACAACTCTACCTCCTACTATACTACCTAATAGCCTGAAGATGTTATCGATAATTTTCTGACCCTTCGTCACTACCATAGACCTCTTTGTGGACCTTATGACTCCACCTTCTAACATATAACTATGGCCATTCAAGTCTAGACTACCCAAGGAGACTATGTTCTTCATCAACTCCGGTACATGCCTAACATCACACAAAGTTCTCACGATACCATCAAACATTTTAATTCTAACAGTACTTATCCTGATGACCTTGTATGATGCATCATTACCCATCAGAACAAACCCATAATTAACCAACCGATAAGTGTAAAATCAATCCTTGTGAGAACATATGTGATATGAACAAGCAAAATCTAGTACCCATGAATCAACTAGACGGTTAGAATTATATGATGAAATAGAAAAAATATCATCGTCATCATAATCTGAATTACTTTTTGCAACGCTTACTGAGTTTGAACTCTCCTCATTCTTCTTATCATCTCCCTATTTCAAATTGGGAAACTCCTTCTTGTAATGTCCTATCTGGTGGCACTTAAAACACTTGATGTTCTTCTTGTTCTTTCCCATGGACTTCGACCTCGAATCCCTCTTGTCTGAACTCCTCTACTTTATTCTACCATGATCCTAGTTAACCTTCACTTCTAGCCCTTCACCTTGAAAACTATCATTGTCATTCAATGATTAAACCTAGAAAAGGCGTAAGTAAATTAGGGTTTAGGTTTAATTGTGTACTTTAATTGATTTAAAGGGTTTGATTTAAACACTTTTATGTCTAATCAGTGAAAACTTTATTTTGTAGGGTTTTATATGCAATTATGAAGAATTGGTGGGCAAAGGAGCAAAAGAAGGAAAAAAAGGAAGAAAATCCAGTAAAGTAAGGGCATCCAGATGATGCAAGACCATCCCAACAGTGGCTAGGGGTTTAAAAGTCAACAAATGCAGCTTCAATGCAATTTCTAGATACTTAGTGGCATTCGGATGTTGGAACTAGCATCCGGATGGTGGCACTTAACTGCCTCAACCCTAGCTCTTCTCCCATTGGTCCAATNAAAGAAGGAAAAAAAGGAAGAAAATCCAGTAAAGTAAGGGCATCCAGATGATGCAAGACCATCCCAACAGTGGCTAGGGGTTTAAAAGTCAACAAATGCAGCTTCAATGCTATTTCTAGATACTTAGTGGCATTCGGATGTTGGAACTAGCATCCGGATGGTGGCGCTTAACTGCCTCAACCCTAGCTCTTCTCCCATTGGTCTAGTTTACCTCTCTTGTATCCCATTTGGTGCCTTGTATGTTTGCCGCCTCAAGCCTTTTTGGAGCCTATAAATACCACATTTTGGGAGGATTTTATGGAGATTCTTGGAAGACAAAAACACTTGGAAGAAATTCCCAACCTCTCCACCCCCTAAGCCAAATTATTTCTTCTACATTTCTTTTATTTCCTTTCTACTTGGAGGGTTGAACCTCTATCACTTTTTCACCCTAGTTTGGTAGTGAAAAGTGGGGGTGTTTTCAACTATTCTTCGGGGAAGGATTGGTTCCTTTTAATTTTGCATTTTGAAGACATATACATCATTAGGAGGGATGAGATTTTCTTGCTCCTCTATAGTAATGAAGAGTGAGTAGTCTTTCTTTTCCTCTTTAGTGAAGGGTGAAGACATATGTAACATTGTTTAAGTAATGAAAGTGCTGATGTTTTATTTATGCTTTAACGTTTATACTTCCCGTAAATGATGAATGGTTTTCATTTATGTTCGGTATTATGTATTACTACGTATAACTAGGGTTATGCTCCAAGTTACAAGTACTGAGCTATGTTTATTGTTTATTGTCATTTCATCTTTACTTTATTATGTACTTCATGTGTGATACAATGATGCATATAGTTGGGATTCAGTTAACAATCAGTAGATTTTTTATAGACAAGTTAAGTCTCACCATAGCTAATACTTTTGATTAGNCTTTACTTTATTATGTACTTCATGTGTGATACAATGATGCATATAGTTGGGATTCATTTAACAATCAGTAGATTTTTTATAGACAAGTTAAGTCTCACCATAGCTAATACTTTTGATTGGGAGTTCCTATCGTAATGCATGACTACTTAATAGGGGGATTTATTGCAAATACTAGGTTATCTCATTATTGTTGAGATAAATGGCCTACTTCTTCATATCCACCGTGCAATGCATGCAGTTATTGATAGACAGAAGAATCATGGGATACGCTTTCGTGTACTAGCTAAAGTGTTATGTATGTCTGGTGGAGATCATATTCACTCCGGTATCGTAGTAGGTAAACTTCGTCTTCATTGAATCACAGACTTGTCGATTGATTAGCCATAGTAAATCTTTTGAATGGTTCACCTTCGGGTTTTCTAGGGTTATTTGGTTGTTGTATGGTGCATAGACTTTTGGCTAACCTAATGGTTGTTGTGTTATGGTTCAACATATACATCAGATCTACCAGTTAACTTTCCGTTGACAAGGGAGTTAATTGATGTAAGGTGTCACCATCATAATTTTAAGCAATAAAATGCATGTTGGATTCCCGAACTAAAGGGTAACTTTTTCATTTGTTATAATCTATTTTAAGTGTTTATTTATCAGTTTTTAAGCTCACACCACAATCTGTTATAATACACACTATGCGTATGACAATTTTAGCCTTTTCTGTCTACAAGTTTCCAACAGATAACTCTATGTGGATTCGATCTCGGACTTTACCGAGAATATTACAACTTGACCACTTATACTTGGGTCTACGATTAAGATCAAATCACTCAATCTTCGCTAGTTGTAACCTAACAAGGCTGCCGTGATTTTATCTAAATCCAGGGTTTCTTTTTACCCTATAATAGAGTGGTTACCATATGTTCAAATGAAAACGGGAGAGACACAGATAACATCAATGTCATATCTTCATCATCAAACTTTATATTAAGCCTTAATAAATCACTGATAATCTGATTAAAAATATTGATGTGTTGAACTAAATCTGTGCTTTCCATCATCTTTAGCCCATATAGCTTATATTTTAGGAATAGTTTGCTCGTTACAAATTTTGACATATACTGACTCTCCAATTTTACCACACAGCCGTTAGAGAATTATCATCCATGATGTGGTACATAACCTCGTCTGCTAGACAAAGTTGTATAGTTCCAACTGTTCGTACCTCGAGTTCTTCCCATTTAGAATTGAACATACCCACTGGTTTCTTCCCAAAAAATGCTTTCGCCATTCCTTGTTGTGCCAACCAATCCTTCATCCTTTGTTGCCATAATACGAAATTCCCAGAGTCGTCAAACTTCATCGCATCAAATTTTATAGCCAAAGTATTCACCGATATCATTAAACCTTGACTCTAATACTAATTGTTCTGAAGGTGTGATATGGTGAACAATCAAGAATCAAGAAAACCAAGAAAACAATAAAACAAGATTTACGTGGTTCGGTAGAAATTCATACCTACTTCCACAAGAACTCCTTTTCTTTATTGCTTCCTCTCAGAATCCAAAATAGGTTATAACATATTTATATGCATCTGTTGATAACCCTAATCCTAGTCCAACTAGCAAACCTAGTCCTATTAAATATGATATATCAAATCATGATAAACCTCATAGCTTACCAAATCCTAGTAAAATTCCTCTACTAGAAGAACATGACACAACATGGACTGTCTAGATATACTCATTCCATGCCGAAAGCCATTCCTTGCAGCGAGGCATTCCCTGCCCCGCATCCCCCAGCCTATTATTCAACCTTGGCCACCAACAGTCATGTGGGTCTAGTGAATATGAACCATCAATTATTTCCAACATATTCCATATTCGGCGCCGCAGATGGTAATCATCAGCCATGACTTTTGAGCCACCGTCATCCTTATCCAAGAGGCTCTAAGCACAACTCCTAACATTGTATTAATGCACCACCACCTTTGCTAGTCCTCTACACAAAAGCGTATTGACAAGGGTCAAGCTGTCATGGGTTGTCATGATGACCTGATTCATACATACGTTTGTTATGCATGTGTGTGGGTAGGTTTTTTACCACTATGATCTATATGAAGTAATAACACTATTAATAAACTCCTTTGCATAAAGTTTGGAGCTTTTTTTCAATATCAAAGTAAATCCTGGTGGATCAACTTGAGGTTCCCCAAAAAGACATGATATAGCAGAAGTAATAAGATGACACAATGGTAGAGGAAAAAGAAGAAAAAGAAGAAAAAGTGAGGAATATATATATCAACACAAAGAAATTTTATTGACCATTGAGAATAACATTGAATAACAAACATTGGAAAGAATATGAAATGCCAGAGGTTCATGGAAATCTACATAAAGGAACTTTTATTGAACATGGAGAACAACAATCAACAAGAAACATGGAATGAATAAGAAACGCCAAAATAGAACACTGAAAGTGAAAATACAAGCAACTCTCAATTTTCTCATCAAGTTACTCACTGTAAAGCTTGTTCAAAACTTTGAGTTTTATAGTTTGCTCTATCTCCTTTGGAAGTTCAAGATTCTGATGCCATAGACGAAGACGAAGAAGAAAAGGAGTGCCCAACCAACATGAGCAAGAGCAACAGGTCCAAGGAAGTCAGACTCATAGCCTAGAAATTGCTTTAGGTAATCCTTCACTGGGATGTCACCATGTTTGGGTACATGAACCAAATCCATCTTGTCACCCACCTGAGATGTTACAAGGCCATAGATCGTCCATGCCACTGGAGAACCCCAGTAGTACCATCTCCACCATATTGGTATTGCCTGCAAATAAAGGTACTTAAAACAATTCCATTTGCATTCATGATCATATCTTTCAAAATCACTTTATTACAAAAGATAGAATCTCAAAAACTCCAAGAATTGAAATCAGTCTTTTTTCTTCCATACGACAATTGGAAATGTACACTTACCATCCTTGGAATGAGGAAACCAGAAAAGAGGTTCCAGAAGCTGAGGAAAAATGACATGAGAATGGCAGCAATCTGGTAACTTGGAGTGAGTGCGACAAGCATCATCCCATATAGAGTGAAGTAGACGAAGCACATAAACACATAGTAGTAGAACCAAAAGAACTTGTCTCCTTGCCACTCGAAACCAATCATCGAGTACAGGAGAAGGCTATAAACAAAAGTTTGAATCGCAACATAATAGGTTTCTACGGCCACCTGCAGGGTGTAAGANTAGTAGTAGAACCAAAAGAACTTGTCTCCTTGCCACTCGAAACCAATCATCGAGTAAAGGAGAAGGCTATAAACAAAAGTTTGAATCGCAACATAATAGGTTTCTACGGCCACCTGCAGGGTGTAAGATATTAGCAATTAGAAATTAGATGGAAATATTGCTAATTTCACTTTGTTGTAATTGAATAATGTTCTTGAATACCAAAGATATAAAACTATATTTTCAGTTTCTTTACCTGAGCAAATGCATAAGGCAATGCTGAATACATCCCTGCTGCTCTTTCACGATAGAATACAGTTCTTTCGATAGCCACAACAGACTGTACCGCTGAAGTGTTTGTTCCTCCAAGAAACAGAACAGCGGCATACATTGCTCCCATAAGATTTGATAGGTCTTGTTGTTTGTGCCTGTTGGACATAATAGTTTATTGTCAGATAAATATACACTTTGGTAATCTAAGGTATAACTCCTAAGACTATAAACATGCATGCAAGAACTTAATAATTTGACTTACATTTTGTTTCCTTTGTTCCAGAAAATGACTCCAAACATAATACCAATCACTGTTGTCATGAAAAATCGGATGACATTGTATTGTGGATTCCTCCAGTATGACCAGTGTTGTTTCCAGAAGCAAGCCTTAAACTGAGTCATGAAGGGCTGGGAGTATTTGGTGGGGAAATATAGGTCTTGGGATCCTTGTTCTGGAGTGCTGAGCTCTTTGATAAGTTCTTGATTCCTCCTGCAGTAGTGGAACAGTGAGAGAGCATATTAGTGTTACCTACTACTAAATTTGACCAAAATGGACAGCAAAGTGAGTTGTAGTTAGACTGAATTGTTATATTTTACACACCGATACAGATCAGAGTTGGCATAAATTTCAGAAAAGTCCACATCAAGTTGAGCTTCAACTGAAGAAGCACTGATCTCCAGCATCCATGTAGCAGGATTGTAACCATCAGTGATCTTGGTAACCCCTGGGACCGACTGCAGGAGGTCATACATATTAATTATCGGAAAGACAACTGAGAGTCACTATATTATAGAACCAAGTTTCAGATCAATGTTCACTTCAATTAGTAAGCAATAACCAGAGGAAGTTTAAGTCAAAGCAAGCCAACAGACGAGAAATTGTACTCACTTCAAAATATTCTACTAACTGGTGAGAAAGGCGACCAAGAGGTCCAGCATAAATTACTTGGCCTCCTCTCTTCATCAAGAATAGCTGTGTGGAAAATAATATTGAAGTTGAGAAGCAGCACAATAGTTCCATGACGATTATAGTGTAAGAGGCCCCAAGTAAAAAACTTTACCACAAGAAAATACCTCATCAAAGGCTTCGAAGATGTCTATGCTTGGTTGGTGAATTGTGCAGACAACAGTTCGCCCAGTATCCACTGTGTTTCTCACAGCTCGCATTACAATTGCGGCAGCTCTAGCATCCAGACCTGATGTTGGCTCATCCATGAAGATGATTGATGGATTAGCAACCAGTTCGACAGCAATTGTAAGCCTTTTTCTCTGTTCTGTTGATAAACCATCCACCCCTGGAAGGCCAACTAGAGAGTCCCTCAATGAGTTCAACTCAACCAAATCCATCACTTCCTCAACAAACATCTAAATCACAAAAGCATTGAATATATTAAAACCTTGATCATTGAGAGAAACAAAGTTGGTAGACGTAGAAAGGCATAATGCAATTATCGGATTGCTGATCAATAAAATGTAAATATTTAGAAGTAATAAGAAAATATGCAGATCAAAAGATGTGTTGCGACGGATAAGAAGCATGGTTCACAAATTTTCTTTTCTTATACATTCCTTCTTGCGATAAAGGGCAGAACTGGGCAATCAGATACAAGTGATTGCATAGTCCAGAAAGACAGATTAAATGGAATGTAAAAGGAAGAAGGATGACATAATGGTCAGGTGACAAACTACATACTTTCCTTGTCTCTTTATTTACATCCGAAGGAAGGCGCAACCAGGCAGAGTACACCAGAGATTCATACACAGTTACATGTGGAGAATGGATGTCATTCTGTTCGCAATAACCACTGACTCGAGCAAAAGTCTCTTGGTTCTTTGGGTAACCAGAAATATTGATATCTCCTTCAATGTATCCACCAGTTTTTCTTCCAGCCAGCACATCCATTAAGGTGGTCTTTCCAGCACCACTCACACCCATTAATGCTGTTAGAACACCAGGTCTGAAAGCACCACTGACATTTCGTAAAAGTTGGAGACGATTCTCCTCAATTCCTTCGCTTTTCATTTCCTGATAAACAAAAGATACTTTGAATGTGAACACAAAATTTGGAAAATTTAACTTGAAGCTGCCGTGATGTTTTACATGCTCATTTCATTGTTTTAGAATTTTAAGTTGAGCACACTGTACTATCATAAAAAAGTACTAAAATAGCAATTAACCATTTAAGAGAACTTAATATTTATCAGTAGAAGTGCAGTGCCAAGTCAAAAGATATATGCTCGGTGGGTCACAGTTTTCTATTCTGTATACCCTCTAACTTTGGTCAGTTCAGATAAAGTTAAAATAGTGGGGTTGCTAAATAGGGAATCAGACTAGGGGCGTCATGTCGGATTAAATAGGTGACGAGTGAAAAATATATAAATTCATACATAACATGTTTAATAAATGGATAAAAAATCTCAACACGAACACAACCCGTTTAATAAATCGGTAACACGACACGACTTGTTTAACCTATTTAATTTTTAAAAAATTATATTAACAAATTTTAATACTCCATTTTTTTTATTGTCAATTACACTTACCTCAAAAAAGAAGATTTTTTAGTCAAATCTTATAAAAATAAGACTTGAAGGCCTAAAAAAAAAGTAGGAGACTATTACTTTTTATTGACAACTCAACCCTTCCTATCTCCCCTCAGTTTTCAATGTAGGACAAATAAGACTTGAAAACTTAAAAAAAAAAGTAAAAGGTCGTTGCTTTTTATAAGCAACTCAACACTCCACATCTCCCCTCATTTTTTAATGTGGGACAAATAAGATTTGAAGGCTTTAAAGAAAAAAGTAAGAGGCCATTACTTTTTATAAGTAACTTAACCCTCTCTANCGAATGGTTGTTTCTCTTTCTTTTTTTCGTTAGTTTCATCTGCGATTACCGATTTAGAATCTCCCAAAGCTGCATTTGAGTAGCAATAATTATCAAAACCAGAATTGTATTTCATTATTGAAAGATTAATCAGTATGAAAATATGATCTTACGATTCAAGTATGTCAGTGCTGCAATAAAGCATCCATTGAAGAACACAGAAAATGCAAAGAGGGCAATGACACAGATCCAAAACCAATGGTCATCCACAAACATTCCCCTAGATGCAAGTAGAACTTTTCCAACTGTTGCTTCAGGAAATCTTGTGTCGTTATTGGGCTGTTAACAAAATTGGTTATATGGAGACAATTGATAATGAAGGTAGTATTGAACCTTATAAAAAGAGAAACTATTGTTTGAAAAATATTNATCCATTTATCACCCAAACCCGTTAAGATTTCACTCAAACCCGCTTAATTCGTGTCAATTAATCGTGTCGTGTCAAATTTTGACTGCCCTAAATCAGACTAATTTTGGTCTCTAAGGCACATGAATCAATCTTATCAATTGCAATATTGTCAANTTAGCGAAGCATACCGTGCTCCATCTTTTATCAAGGAATTCATTGATGACTATGGCGTTTTGTCCATATGACATGGGCGNTTAGCGAAGCATACCGTGCTCCATCTTTTATCAAGGAATTCATTGATGACTATGGCATTTTGTCCATACGACATGGGAGNTGATATAGTAATTAAAACTCAGGACAAGTGACTTACTGCAGGCATATCTACATAGTAATTCACGTGATCGAATGAAAGTGATAAGGGCTGGAAGGGCAGCACCATTCCTTTTCTGTTACTTGCATTCCTGACAACCACACCGTTCCCTGCAATCATACAAGTTGTATCAGAAACTAGATGAAAACACAGAGGTTTTTATCTTATTTATCTGGTGACCTTTGTCAGGGCCAAAAGCAGCACAAAAATGCATGGCTGCTGAAGATATGTAACCGCACAAGCAATGTCATGATGTGATCAACCACGGTTCAGCATTGCACGGAATGAAATACTAGTTTCAAAGTGTCAATAACCCAGCCATAGCCATTTGTCTAGTTTGGATGGGTTTGTGAACCTGGTTACCTCTTTGAAAGGGTCACCAAAGAAAAGATTTTCACATGTTTTGTACAAGATTATTGTGTACACAATCTCTGAAAGTTTTTTTGTCTCCAAAAGACTTGCTTTAACCTTCCAGACACCTTAATTTCATGGTCCATATATGCTACTGTTTTTTAAACCTTTTGGGCCTTCAACTAGATCTCGAGAGAGGTAAGACGTTTGCATTCCTGTTTTTGATGGGATCTATGCCAAAACCCACAAGCTAAGATAGTTTTCTTACCCCAACTTCACCCCCAAACCCCAAACGAAAAAAAGGAGAAGAAGAAAAGGTTTCCTAAAACTCCACCTTTGAAATCTTTTCTACACCCCTCTGTTTGCCTAGATAGATTTCAAAGCCATCACAAAAATATTTCTGTGGAAGTTGAAGGTTGATAAGTGAAAGAAACTGTATACTCTGTTTAGTGTCTAATGATTTCACTGATTCAATAGATTCCAATTCAACAACCAGAAAACATCCACCTCACTCACAATAAAGCATACTAAGAATTCAAATCTCAATTGATTATGGTAATTAAAATCTTGCACCTTCAAACATTGGGGCTGTAGATGCTGTATCTGTCACAGCGAATGGTTGTTTCTCTTTCTTTTTTTCGTTAGTTTCATCTGCGATTACCGATTTAGAATCTCCCAAAGCTGCATTTGAGTAGCAATAATTATCAAAACCAGAATTGTATTTCATTATTGAAAGATTAATCAGTATGAAAATATGATCTTACGATTCAAGTATGTCAGTGCTGCAATAAAGCATCCATTGAAGAACACAGAAAATGCAAAGAGGGCAATGACACAGATCCAAAACCAATGGTCATCCACAAACATTCCCCTAGATGCAAGTAGAACTTTTCCAACTGTTGCTTCAGGAAATCTTGTGTCGTTATTGGGCTGTTAACAAAATTGGTTATATGGAGACAATTGATAATGAAGGTAGTATTGAACCTTATAAAAAGAGAAACTATTGTTTGAAAAATATTAGCGAAGCATACCGTGCTCCATCTTTTATCAAGGAATTCATTGATGACTATGGCATTTTGTCCATACGACATGGGCGAAATATAATATGCCCATTTCATCCATGGTTGAAGGTCATCTGTAGGAGAGATGATAAAGATCACTTGTATTATCCAAAATCTGAAAATTCAGTATCTTTCACAACAAATCAACCAGCAGAAATTAAATATGGTTATTAATGTTCCACAGAATAAGCTCAGTTCTTTTTCAGAATCAGTTTTTCCGTAAGAAGTGTTACTGTAGAAACATTTAACTGCTAACCTTTGGCAATAATGAATCCACCAAGGACAAAAACCAACAGCAATGTAAAGGTACCAAGCGTGTTTGCGACGACCTGTGTTCTTCCAAGTGCCACAATGAAACGGAAGAGACCTAAAGCCATCTGATGTACACCAATGAATGCCAATAACTGGCGGAAAAACCTGAAAATTTTCAAGTGGGGGCACGAAGATGGTTAATCTTTGACTTCATGTAGTCATTAATTATCAATGATCATTAAACCATGTTCTGCCATCGAACAAATGGTCTCTTAACTACAATTCCATGTACTTAACTACCACGATGATTACTGGGAATGATTAAGAATGGAATTGTAAGCACATACCTACTAGCAGAAGGAGCAAACCCAACAGTATAATATGTGAGAATAACCCATATTGCTGACTCCATAATTGAGATTGGGATCCTGAGGAGCCAAATCGGTAATGCAAAAGCCCATGCTGGGTAAAACAAGGAGTCCCTCTGTTTAAAGAACACGGGAAGCCTGAGAATAGTCATTGCAAGCTCGGCCATCCCATTGAACATGACATTAATGAGACTGAAAAATAGTGCACCATAATATTTACTTCCATCATCTATTTGACCATGCTTCATCTCTGTTCTAAAGAACACTGTGAAAGTAAAAAATGCCATGATCGTAATCTGGACAGTTTTGAAAATGTATATGAAGGCGTTGCGTTTCATCAGTAGCCACTCCCTCGACAAGCATGCCTTGAAGAGGTCTTTGTTGGAGATACCATACTTCTGTCTCACCAGTGCTGCTGGATGAGCTTTACTTCTGTCATAAGAAATTCTAAGCTCATTGAAAAGCTTTTGCCCAATGTGGAAAGATTTGAAGTGATGTACAAACTCAGGCACTGAGATATATTGGTAAGGTTCATTCTTTTTGAACCAATACTGCTCTTGGTCCTTCTCGGAAGTAACCTCTTGCAGAAAGTCTGCAACTCCTTTCCTCTCTGGGCATTTGAACCCCACAGTCTGAAAGAACTCAAGGACATACTCACGAGGACCTTGGTAAACAACTTGACCATCTGAAAGTAGAATAATGTCATCAAAAAGATCAAAAGTTTCCGGTGCAGGTTGAAGAAGAGAGATTATCATCGTTACATCCACGATATGAACCATCTGCCTCATATACTTGATAATTTGAAAAGTGGTTGAACTGTCAAGCCCGGTTGAGATTTCATCCATGTAAAACACTTTGGCTGGCCCAACCAACATTTCTCCTGCATCCAGTAAGCGATTAATTTTCATTAGAGAAAAGGGAACAGATAAATTCGGCCTGAAGTAGGCGAAACAAAATGTTTTTCTGTTACCAGTTGTCACACGCTTCTTCTGTCCACCAGAAATACCCCTTCTCATTTCATCACCCACCATTGTGTCAGCACAAATATCTATTCCAAGTATCTGTTATATCATCTTGTCAATTAGTTTGATATGTCTTATATCGAGCTGGTAAGTAAAACATCTATACTGGCAAGAGGGGGAAACCAACCTTGAGAACATAGTCAGTGACCAAACTTGTTTCTTGGCCAGCCATTGATATGGCTTTCATAAATGCATCTATCTCAGGGTCTGGTTTGATTCCTGCATCTTTTTCTCGTCTTGACAGTTCTGCCAAGAGCTCATATCGTGTTCCAACTCCTAAGCAACGCCCAGAGAAATCTAACGCCTCCTTGACAGTCATCTCACCATTGTGAAGATCATGTTGGCTAATATAAGCACAAGTCCTCTGAGGAATAAATTCATTCATTTCATGACCACAGTAAGTGACTTTTCCAGATACCTGGCACCAAAGTTTTAAGAGTACACAAACAGATATAAGAATGCAGGAGGAGAAGTCACAAAGATTTGAATTTTCGAGGTTGAATTTGTTCATTTGGAATCTGGGTTCTCCTACTTCATTTTTGTTTACTTTATCTTTAATTGAAATTTATCCCTCTCTTTTTGCAGATCATTCCCTTAGTCCCATAGGATTGATTCTTTAGAATTTGACCCACTTTCTCATAGAGCCAAGGATACGAAATAAAGAAAATTGGATTTTTCAATTGACAAACTTTATCTTTGCCAGTACAGTGAGGAATACAAACCCTTAGATCCTTCTCCAGCTTTCCAGCAAGTGCCTGCAGCAATGTTGTCTTCCCAGCGCCCGGAGGCCCCAGAAGCAGTGTCATCCTGAAAACACAAATTTGCAGCAAAGCATGTAAAGAAGTTCAAAAATACAAATCAAGAAATACTAAACGAGAACCACAGACAACACTTGTGCTTATATAGATGAATTTCATTTGTAAAATTTCTTTGATCATTAATTATACCTTGAAGGTTTTACGATTCCAGATACATCATTAAGTATCTTGACAGACCTCTTTTTGGATGGGAAAAGCCTCAGAAGTCCAAGAACCCCCTATTCATAACGCCAAAAATGGTCATTTACCATAATTTCTCAGCAAATGGATCTCNTGACAGACCTCTTTTTGGATGGGAAAAGCCTCAGAAGTCCAAGAACCCCCTATTCAAAACGCCAAAAATAGTCATTTACCATAATTTCTCAGCAAATGGATCTCAGCATCAAGGAAAAAATCATGAGATGAACGAAACAACTGCTCATTTCAAGTTTTAGATGGTCAATTGTTGCATACAAATATATATGTGTGTGTGTATATCTCCCAACAAATATCAAGTCACAAGAGGAAAAGAAATAGAAGCAATGTCATGTTTGATAATTATACATCAAAACGACTAGCACATAAGAAGGACAAAAGGTATAAATAATGAGCACAAAGGGAAGTAGCAGCATTAATAAATATATGCATAATTGAGAAGTTTGTCTTCGAATTCCAATTTTATGAGAAATTCTGGTGGAACACAAATTTATCAAGTAAGCAAGAATGTGCTGAAGGAATAGAGCAAACTACCTCTATCGAATTGATGGTAGAATTCAGCAGAGTTGGCAGTGCTCTGCTTCCAACAAATGCATCTCCTTCAATTGACAAATTCTCAAACCGGACTTCAACTCTTGGGAAATCAATCCCAACCCTGTTTAAATTAAAAGTCTTAGTTTCTTTGACCAAAAACAAGTCAACTCATAGCCTGAAACTGTTGAGAGATTATGAAATTTTAAAACTGCTTTAGAAGAAATAAATTAAAAGCAGGGTATAAAAGACATGATGAAATTTAGTTGGGACATATAGAGAAGGAGATTGTGTGTCACCTATCGGTCCTATCTCTCAGCCTTTGAAGAAACCTCTCATTATCGTATTCGACTTTTTTAAGTATACTCTCCATGAGTTGCTTCTTATTTTGTATGCCAAGATTGGCAACATCAATCTCTTCATGAATAATACTTCCATTATCCAAAACTTGAGTCAGGATACCCTTCCTCAACCGATCATACGTTGGAAGTCTCTCGATGGCGGCCCACCTCAGTTCCTCTTCATCATCTTCTCTCCCACTCTTCTGGAAAACATCCCCTCCAGGCGCGGAAAATGCATCTCTGATACTAGCAGAGGCCCAACCTCTCACACTGCCTGACGCAAGACTCCCCCGCCGGCTCATGTTTCTGCTCATGTTTCGACTCATGTTTCGACTCATGGTCCTTATTAAATCGTCTCCGGTCAGTGCTGCCGCCATGTTAACTGGGCAGAGAAGTTTTTCACCAGCTCAAGACCCGGAAAGAATCAAGAAATGAATTAGTGTTCAAGAATTCAAATGACCGGATGGTTACACATACGAATATTAAGAATGTTGATGACAGATGAAATTTGAAGTATAGTTTCTTTGAAAAGGGTGGACTAGGAAGTGTGGAGAGAGAAAGAGAGAGGGCAGGTGGTGCTATTGGGAGTCAGTTGTTGGGAGAGTATATGTAGAGGCTGATTGTGAGGAGACAATGGAGGGTGGTGACAAAAATGAGCATCATCAAGCTTCGGAATAATTTATAAGAAAATCAGCTGACAGATATTCTGAGTTTTGTCCTCTCTTTGAGTTGTTCAAATGGAAAAAGTTTCCTTGATTTATAGGAAAACATTGTCGTACAGAAATTTATCCAAAAAAAAAAAAAACATGAAAGATAGTATTAAGTTCTGTCCAAAAAAACGGATTTGTGTGGGGTATACAACAGGAAGTGAGGCTCTTATCATCCAGATTAGGCCGCGTTAGTTATATTATGGATAAAATTCAAAAAAGAAAAGGGATAGGAATTGTCATCACCGATAGCGAGTGGCATATGAGGCATGATATGATCATTTTAAATGCAATCTTGTCGTCAAGGATTGAGTTTTGTGTTTGTAGTTTAGTAGGTTAGGTGTAGGTTTGTATTGAATCATGTTAATGTATTTAATATGAGGGAGGGCCATGAACCACCATACCCTACAGAATTTATGTATAGCTATGGTACTCGAACACTAATTTCCAATTATGCAGTACATCTCCTCCCACGCCCACGCCCACGCCCACAACACCCCCCACCACCAAAAAAATAAATAAATTAATAAATCCAAACAAATGCAAAAAACTGTCGCTCAAGTCTTGCACAATTATAAAGCTTTTAGTGTCAATGCCTATAAAATATCCCCTAAGTCGATAAAATAATAATATTTTGTTTCCATTACAAGCTTTTTTTTTTTTTTTTTGTTTTTGAAATGAGATGGTAAAATTTTATTAATAAGGGAGGGATGTCTAAAAATGGGTTAGGCATGATACATCAACATTGCAAAGATAAAAAGACATGTCTAGCTAAATGATGTGCTGCATTATTTCCAGTTTGTCTAATAAATGAAAATTTTGTGTAACGAAATTTCAGCAGGTCACTTCTGATGTCCATCAAGAAAGCCCCTAGCGGATCAAGTTCGTCCCTTTGTTCCCTGATTGCAGCCACTACTAGCTCTGAATCACCCTCTAGCAGCAAATGTCTCTGCGGTTCGTGCATCAGCAGTCGCCGCAACTTTCTTAAACATACCAACCACAAACTGGCCACACTCGTCCCTTATAGCAACACCAACACCAATACCAACACCAACAACACCAGCACCAACACCAACTGTTCCTTTTCTCATATACTGCTAGAGAGAAATTGATTACTTTTGGAGCACTCCAACGAGTTCTTGATTGGGTAGTTATAGTCGAGCAACGGGAAACACAAGCAATGGAATAATGTGTCCAATAATGCATATCAGCTTGACTAATTTCCTGTGGCGCCTTTTTAAATTCGTTGGGGATTACATCATTTCTATATATTCCTTCAAATCATCCAACGCTGGACTAAGAAGCAGAGCATCCCGTTACATTTTGGGGCCTAAAGTGACAATTAAAAAAGAGGTTTTTTATGTTTAAAAATAATATTTTATTTTTCTTGCTTTTTAAAACTCAAAAACACTAATTAAGTTTTTATATTCGTGTTTCGCTGCCATATCTTTTTCGATCGATAATATTACTAATTCATTTAATATTTTCTTGTGACATAGTTGATCTTAAATAAGATTTTATCAATTTTAATATTGAAAAAAACTTCTTTTTGTGGAAGAAACAATTACAGAAACATACATTCGGGAAAGAATCTAATCATTTTATGTAACTTAATATTTTAATTGAAGTACTTTCTTCCGTAGGTAAAATTTCCTTTGGAACATTGAGTTTTGAAGACAAATCTAGGAATGAATGATTAGGAGAAACTATTGAAAAATTTACTTTTTACTATTATTTTTTCTTCTTTTTTTTATGATTTTTTTTGTTTTGGTGTTATTAGCCGGAGAAATAGGCCCAAACTATCAAATTTAAATCTAACTTTAATTTTTTTTGTTGGGCTTAAATTGAATTTTTTATTGAAAAATTTGGATGCCGATCTCCCTTTGCAGACTTATTTGGTGAAAAGTCCATCAAGGAAGTTTATTTAATATTAAATCCATTTTGATCTCTATATTCTAAAATACCCCCATTAGTTATATTTAATTATAACAAATTTGAAAACTAACAACTTCCAAATTTTAGAAGTTTGATTACCATTAAACTTATGTCTTTCATATCTATCTATTTCCATATATAGAATATGACTATTTATTTCTCTCTCCCTTATATATATAGTAACATTAAAAAAAAATAGTAACATTCAAGCATAAAAAATAGTACCACTTAAAAAAAATAATAGCAATATTCAAAAATAAAAACTAATAACATTGAATATTAATATTTTAAAAAAATAACAGTAGTAACATGTTAATAAAAAAAATAAAATTGAATATTGATATTTTAGAAAAAAAGTAACATTCAATATTAATACTAACATACTCATAAAAAAAAATAGAAATATGCACAACAAAAAAATAGTAACATGAAAAAAAATAATAACATGCATTGTAACATGCAATATTAAATTAACCATAGTCTTCTCACCAAAAAAAAAAATGAGAGAGAGAGAAATGTCAGTGATGTCAAATTTGAATTTGAATTTCAAATTTTATGAAAAATAATCTTCTATTAAGTGTGAATCAAGCACGACTGTTTAGGAATTGATTTAATGTTGAAGATTGATTTTAAGTCATTAGAAGGGCAATTTGGAGTTTTAAAAAAATAGTGGACGTAACTACTTATTAGTAAGATAAAAAACGGATTTACTCCCAAATAAGTTTTCTTAGCGGACTAAATTCATTATAAGTCCCTTAAGGAGGACTCTGACCCAATTTTCACTTTTTTATTGAATAGTAGTTATAATTAGAAATAATGAGGTCTAACAAAAAAAAAATAGGGCCTAATGCCTAGGCTTTAATCGCCTTACACTAGGCCCCACCCTGCTAAGAAGAGGGAGAAATCTTCACTTTTTATTATCTTCTAGACCTCCCTTGGCCGCTGTTTAGGGTGCACTATCTATGAATGCAATGCTTGAAAAAAAATGGACCCATTTGCCAAGATCTCTACGACCAAGAACAGTCTCTAAATTAGAGCAAACCCTTCTCCATTGCATCCATGCATTCTTCACGTAGATCATTTGTTTTAATTTTCCTACGCTTGCATTCAAACAAACTTGCTAAGCAAAAATTTTAATCTTGTTTGGTACTTTTTGGTTCCAAAGAAAAGAACAACTGGTGTCACCTAAATTACAAGAAGGCTTTGAAGAACTTGCCCTTGCTAGGCCTTGTTCAACAGATAGATGGTATGCACTATGAACTAAAAATTTTCCTTTTGGATTGTAATGCCAAATTAACTTATCTAGCATTAGCATATCTGCTAGGGGTATATTCTCTATCACTGAAGCTTCGTGAGGCAAAAACATCATATCAATCAAATGACCCTTTCATTGCCTTGTTTGTCCATTGATAAGATCACTAACCATAGCGGATTCCTCTAACCTATTCGGAGTGACAATCTTAAAAGTAGAAGTAGGAATCCATTGATCACTCCATATTTCACCCTCGTTCCGCCACCAGTTCCCCAATGTGATCTACCCTTCAATATCGTTTTAGCACCCATAATTTTTCTCCATGTATAACATGGTTGGTAACCCAATTCGACTTTCTAGAACTCGGTAGAAGGAAAATATAGTGCTTGAAGAACTTGATGAAGGAGAGTATAGGTTTGGTGTTGATAGGGATGCAACTTGGGTGGGGCAATCCGAATTCAATCTGAATCTAACCAAAAAAAAAATAGGGTTCTTTGGAAGCCGATGCACTAAATTATGCGTAATAGTAAAAAGTAAATAGAAAAACATGTGTTGTAAAAAAGTACACTGTTGAGATACAAAGACTTAACTGCCCATTTTCTAAAATTTATTTTCCTAAAAACAGCTTTAGGAATATATCTTAAAATTAATTAGATACACAGTGATAATGGTTTACCACTGGATTTAAGGAACATTCAATTGCGAAAAGTTTCATCTTTGGAAAACATTTGTTGCTTCTTCTTCCTCTCCAAAAACCGTTTCATTGTCCTCAGTGAGAAACCCTAAATCATTCCCTAAAAACAAGGTTTTGTCTTTGAAAGAAAAATCCTACTGGTTCGCCATTTTGATGTTCGTTCATCAACAACATCTACTTTTTTTTTTCAAGTTGTTCGCCATTTGAAAATTTGTTTGAACATTGACAGTTGTAGACAAAACCTAATTGTTGAAAGTTGATCGTGGTCTTGCGTGAAATATGGTGAGAATTGATATTGTTTGATGTTGATTTTATGTCATTAGTTCGTATAACGTCATGGGGTATATTGTAAATCCAACCTATTGATTTTGATTTGGGCATTTTTTTAAGATGCTTGTGCAATTCATGTTTTCCCAACTTATTCATGGTGGTGATAAACGTAATAGAAAAAATGGGTAAGGGAAAATGCATGGTGGTACAATTTTGATTTTAGTCAAAACCCTTAAATTATATATTTTTTAAACCCTAGATGTTTATATCTTTATTTTTTAGTTGTTGGATTTTTGCCCTGAATAAATATTGATTTTCAATTGGTTGAAAATAGGTTTCAAATGAAGTTAGGCAGTTTTGCTTCAATATCAGTGGCTGTGTTTTGGTTGTGTTCAATGGTTTTGTGCATATGGTAACAAATTCAAAAGGAGTTGAGCTGTTTGAAAGAAGTTATATGCAAATATATGTTTGTCAAAATATAACATTATAATGTTTTGTGTAAGTGTATTGTTACACTGT